TAGTACAATTTTATTGTTGACTCCCATTTGGTTAAAGTGAGTGACTATCGTCTTAGTCATTTTTTTTGTGATTTTGAGAGTTCATGCAGGGCCGTTGTGTTTTTGACTGACAGAAATTAATTTCTTGAATTCATCTTTTCTTCTTCTGGAGTTGAACGTCCGATCAAACTAACATCCGATGAATCTCCAACCCTTGCGTCTCGAACTGCTACATCAAACCAATTTCGCACTTCTGCTGCGCACGTGGTTCCTTTCTTTTTGTTGGGCCTGACACATCCATGTTTTCCGTTTGATTTTTCGACGGGGCGTGCTGTCATTGGTTGATTTTTTTATGACGTTCGCTGGACCACATAAGCTATGTCTGCGTTCCGTCAGTTACCGTGAATAAGAACAATACAAGAAAGGAAAGGTAGGATGTGTAATAAAGCGAAAAGTGAGTTTTCTTTGTCACCCTCTTAGTAAAAAGGAAAGTGTATATTTCCATATGGTGTTTAGTACCACCTAATCCTACGACATACTATATGGGTCGTATTATACTAAAGTCGTATTATACTAAAGTCGTATTATACTAAAGTCGTATTATACTAAAGTCGTATTATACTAAAGTCGTATTATACTAAAGTCGTATTATACTAAAGTCGTATTATACTAAAGTCGTATTATACTAAAGTCGTTTACAAAAAAACTTAAAATAGCTAAACTTATCCTCAAAAATAACACCTGCAAAATCAAAACTACAAAAACAAACATTTACGAGTTCAAATGACCCTTAAGGACTTGTGTTCCTGATCAAACCAAATTCATAAATAATTAGTCACACTACTACATGCCTGTCCAAACGACTCACGTTACACCTATCCGACCAGTGCTCCATTAGAACTCATCAAGCACACACACACACACACACACACACACATAAACCTATCAGACTCCATCCGAAAAATACTATTATAAAATACAAGCATAATAACCTTATCCACATGTAAAGAAGATTAAAAATAATGGAAGCCTTAATAAGAAAAAAAGAAAAAGCCAACACTCAATAATATTAACTATGAATACGGCCACAATGTGCTGACAGTGTTCGGAAAATAAAATATCCCTATAACACTAGATACATACACACAACCCATACAACCAGTTAAAGAGTAAAAATAAAATTATCCTTGATAATTGCTAGATGTATAGCCGAAAGCGCTCGGAATTACAGAACATTTGGACAATTTCTGCACATTATGTCCAGAAAGAAAACACTTGTTCGAACACAAGAGAAATTAAATAAAAAGCTTAATCACAGTACCTTGTCTGTAGTCTTTAACGAAAGATGTGTACAAGGCGGCGATGGGGAGATGGGGATAGGAGATAGAGAGAGAAAGATATATAAGTTATGCTATTGAACGTATGAAGGTTTTTAAAATAATTTTTTTTTTTAAATGACTATATCAGAATAAATTTAAGTTTTTTTAAAAATTGTCACACTTTGGATGGCTCATTTCGTAACATAAAAACCTTTTCCCGCTAAGACCACCAAAGCTAGAAACAAATAAAATAAAACAAAAATAAAATAAACATAAGAGATTAAAAAAAAAAGAATTAAAAAGCTACAAACAAAAATCCAACAGCAAACTCATGTGAACCAAAAATATCCACATCCAATTGCAAATGAAGCCAGTTTTATGTTCTAAACCGATAGATAATTACAGGAATCGGACATGCGAGGGTCTGCTTACTTGTCCACTGCTATAATAATTACTACTTAATAACAGAGCATTGGACGTAAAAATCCGCGAATACATCACAAATGACTCAGTTTGCCGCCATTAACGCATCTGTTATTTTCTTTCATACACTTACGTAACAGCTCTTTTCCTCCCCAAAGAAAAAAAAATCGCTTCAAACGATTTAAGGTTACTGTTCGCGAGGCAAAGTTATGAGAGGCCCGCACGTCAAGGAAACAGCGTAGAATATGGCATAAGTACAAGATTTACATATCTCCACCCATGTGAAATCTTTGGCTGACCAGGCTCACAAAATTAACTATTTTACAAAATTTGCCAACAAAAATATATCTACAGTGTCCCTTCAGAACCACATCGGCGTTCATGGTTCTCCACAACTTCCCGTCTCATCTTAGCAATGTTTGTCTTTTCGCTTGCTCCCCTACACCATATTCTGCCAAATCATTTACACAAACTCGTTTTACGGGATATCAACCTCAATGCGTTATTTAATGCCTACAAGAATTTTATTGCTGGTAATATTTTTTTCAAAAACGTATTGCTAGTATTAAAACCTATTTTTACACTTTCATGATGTTTTGACCCCAGTTTGTGCGTAGTAACTATTTGCCCATAGCTGAGACCCTAACAGGTGCTACCACACCGGATCAGGGTGGACTGGGAACACTAGCAATTAAGAGGTGGTTCCAGTCTTCTCAAAAACTCTTGATCAGAGGCCTTGCTGCTGGATGTAGTTTATCGTTATACCCAGGACGCGATTGGGTTTGAGACGGGTCGCTTCCTTTCTAACCTTTTGTACGAAATCGTATGGAAGAATATATTGACTATGTAATTACTTCCTTTTCGCAGTTATGTGCTATCCATTTTAGTTGTTACTACTGTTGAAAGTTTTCAAGTGGGTTCTGTCATTTTGCCCAGCACTGTATTTTGTGATTCTGTAGCGCAAGTCCACGAGGTTCGAAGATTGATGATCTTCACCAAGATCTTTCGCTGGAAACCATATTTAATTACTAATTAGACAAAACGGTTGAATACAGCTGACAGTTAAGCGCCATGCACGAAATCCATCTAACGATCTTGATCTGACGAGGCTACTTAAGAACATTACTAGGGTCCTTAGGTTTATATGTTGCGTTCGGCAGAGGAGGGGCGTATTCAACATTCGATAATTTTGCAGCAAGTCGCATTGAAACGTTTTAGGCGGTTTTTGATAAACATTTCTTTTCAAGGTTAGCTGTAAAGAATTGTAAATGTCGGACTAGATTACACTTAAGTAAGGCAATAACAATATTTATTAAGAATTTATTACAGGAAATATCAAGTTTTACGGAAACATTTTTGACAGTTATGTATTTAGTTACATAAATAAAAAAAATATAAATTTTGATGGTATATTCGATTTGTGAGGTATTTTTCATTTCCTCCTTTGTTATGCAGCAATGCTAAGCTTCCTTTGAACAAACTGGAGCTATTTCATTTACGCTTTGTTACCTCTCCTTTCCATTGTTGTTTTTAGATCGATTTCTTCAAGCCATTTTGATGGACAATAGTGAAATTTTGAAATTTAGAATGGTCTTACCTTATTTAAAAAATAAAGCCTGTAAAAAGGAATATTTGAAATTAAAATACGACCAAAAATAAAATGCTTTTGACAAAAAAAACTTTAATGATTTCACTAGAATTATATGTAACAATAATATGATATTCCGCAGACAAATCTACGGTTTATGTTACGTTACCCCATCTTTATTGCATGATGACAAGCTATAAACGTAAATTCAGCTCGAAATATTGCGCAATCGGTTGATTTTTTGTAAAATACTTGGATATGATATAATGAATAATTTGTAGTGAAAAAAGCAATTTTCGTTTTTTTTTTTGTTTTTTTTTTTTTTTGCTGTTGTTAAATACGCACCTCCTCCGCCGAACCTGTCATATTTGCACTAGAAAAGCTTTGTAGCATTTTGCGTTTTTTGACAAAACTATCCCAAGCACAGCCTATTCTATGTTCAATTTTCTTATCTCCTATATTAAATCTGTTATAACTGATCCACACACAGGTATTTAAAATCTTTAGCATTTATTTTATGATAGAATCACAGTCAGTGCCATCACCGCTTTCATTCCATTTTCAGATCATAGTCTCTTAAGAACTTGCATGGCATCATATGAGAATCTAAATCTGACGAGGCTATTTAGGAACAGGACCCAAGTCAATATTTCAAAGACAAGCGCTGGCAGGAACCCAACACTTAATTTAAAAATTGGACTGAAAATTATTTCTTTACTGTGTATACATGTGCTTCAATAACAACCACACTCACAAACAGTAATTGAACTATAGTTTATTATCGATATTAATTATAAGCACAATGCACTGAGGCAGGTACTATAATAATTGTATTTTCGGAACAAGAATTCAACGAGCAGAGTTTGAATTCCGAAAATGTTGATATAATTAAAACAAAAGTTATTTAAAATAGTAAATCCAATTGATGATACGGGTTTTGAAAAATATTTTACTAATAGCCTGGAGTAGATGGGCATGTACGGAAACTAGCAATGGTGATGAAGATGATATATCGCACTTGTTTAGAATGTGCCCCCAACTTGAAGCTGCGGTTAGTGTAGTTGCATTTTTTGGGTAAACTTTACATTACTCGGACTATTGTCCTCATCTTCATTTCCATATTCACAACGTTTCGGCCGTTGTACGCCCCGTCCTTCTTCCGGTGATTGTGACAGATATTCATTTTTTTTTCTTGCTGCATTCTAAATTTCTTAGCGCAAACTCCCCAGCCGTGTCTACAACTTCAGTCGACCGTGAATAGACGGACTTCTGCCTTCTGGATCAAACAAATCACAACGTGGGCAGGAAGCAGGATTAAACCAGCAGACCGGTCGAATAATCTACGAATGCACAGGGGACCTATGGCCACTCCCTTAAGTTCGGTTAGGACCGAGTAGACACCTCAACCCAGAGAGTAAGACGCTGGGGCGAAAGTGCGAGAGATTGGAATTTCGAACCGATCCCTTTATTTCGTCCACCAGGGTAGATTGTTCTAGTTCCACGTGCCATGCCTCTTCCGGATGTCTCAGTTATTTCCATTTAACTCAACTCCCTAAATTTTTGTTTTCACCACAGCTGTGGCCTGGTACTGAACTCACAAATCTTTGGGTGAAGTCACTGGATCTAACCAACGCCTTTATCCACTCACCCATGTGTTCTCAATTATCGATTACACGACCCGCACACCCAAGCTTACAGCACCTGATATTCTCAAGTACTCACTAATATAGATACTAACCAGGCTCAACGATGCTTAACTTCGGTGATCGTACTGGAAACGGTGCTTCAACGGGATGTGGCCATAAAGAGGAAGATACTGAGAATACCAGGTATTGAACATGCGAGCAATGGCGAAGTTCTAGGGACGATGGTAACAAAAAGGGTACATCGGGTAGATACAGTTGAAATTTCTGGGGCTCATCGTGAGGAAAGAGGGCTTGGAAAATTTGATACTCACAGGATACGTCGAATGCAAGTGAGAGAAGAAAACAACACAATTTAGTTGGCGAGATTGAGTGAATGGATGAAGAATCCTGGTTTAGGCAAAAAGGCAAAATTATTAAAAGCTACAAAGGACAGGAAATTCTGGGGAGTCATAATTACCCATGTCCTAGAGGGACACGGTACATAGAAGTGGTTCGCTCCGTTCAAAAAGAGGAAATATTTATGTCGATTTCCAAGAACATTACGGGATCGTTAACGATGATCAAGTCAAAAAATAATCCATATTACACGATACGGGACGTCGCAGAAATACTCCACATGAGTTTTGTAAAGTATTTACAACACAACACTTAGATACGTGAAGCGTAATATTTGGGTGCCTGAGGATTTAAATAAAAAAAAAAAAAAAAAAAAAAAAAAAAAAAAACAAAACAAACAAACATAGAACACATTTCCATCTACAATTCTCTACTCGAATGCTACAAAAATGACTTTTTTAGGAACGATCATAGGTGATGAAGAATGTATAGTTTACAACAAGGGAGAGCGAAAAGTCCTGAAGACTACAACAAGAGCCAATGTTAACCAATCCAAAAGCGGGTCTGCATCCAAAGAAAGTGACACCGTGTATTTGATGGGATATTACGAACTCCTTCCGCAAAATCAGACGTTGAATTCAGAAAAGTACTGTTCCAGATTAAAGCAATTAAAAAGGCAGCAATAGATGAAAAGCGCCAGGATTTTTTTTTATTTTTACAATAATACTGACTTCGTACAGGGCCCAAGTGCCACTCGAGGTAGAGGGTTACATAGCAAGAGGTACCGTTTATGGGAATACGTGAAGAAGTTGACGAATCGAGTGAGTGCAGTAATCCATCAGGACAATTCCAAAATCATCGTTTCTTTGCAGACCCGCCAGAAATTGGTACAGTCTAGCTGGGATAGCCTATTACAACCGCCATTAATTTCGATCCCTACAAAATTCTCTTAAGAACTTCAGTCTTAAGGAAATCAATGAAAGCCACTTAAATTATTCCACTACAGTGTAACCCGGATATAAGAGAGTTGTCGGGAACGGAGAAGAAGTCTTTTATATCCGGGTTTGGTCTATTTTGTTTAGATCAACACAGGCTCTAATTTGAGACCAGAGAAAATCTCTTATATCCGGGTTACACTGTAACAAGAAAGGTACCAAGTTATCAGAGAACAAAAACATGAAGCTGTCTCAAAGATGGCAGAAATCTATCTAAACATTGACCGACATTTACTTTAAAATCGCAATTAAATGTTCTGATCAAATAGCTTAAGTTTCATTTTCGAAAGAAAAGAGGCTTTCATTAATTAATTTAAGTATATTCACTACTTAAATTTAGCCCGCAGTAAAAATGTAAATGTGTTTACATGATTATGCAGAACGTTTTCGAGCTGTAAATAGTCTTTGGGCATTTGCCTCTAAAGGCGAAGAGGAGATGGACGTATTCCAATAAAATGTATTGTGAGGATACAAATTCGGCCATTTAATTAGAAGCGAATCCAGACACGATAGTTAATAAGAGCCAAAATAGCAAGAACAAAGGACGGGAATTTGATACAAAGAGAGCAAAGCAGCCAGATCATTCCTTAGTGTTTGTGGAAAGTTTAACTGAAAATGTTTTCCAAGTACAGCGATTGATATATGCTTACATGATATACGAAAAACTCAAGTACTTTTCAAAGTAAAAAGAAAAAAAATCGAATATTAGACACTGCTTAAACAGACTCGTAATATAAATAAGTAAATAATAAAATGTCAAATCAGTCCCTGAATTTTACAGAGTTACCGGCACTTAATGTTTTCATTTACTAACGTCCTCCATTGGAAAAGTGCTGACATCATTGAATCTGCATTTTTTTGTAAATTTTCGTTCATTACACATTTGGACTTCAAAAATTCTTCATCTAATTGTACTTTAATGACACACACAAATATATACAAGTCAACACTTAGAGGCGACAGTGTTTCTAGCATGAAACCGCATGTCGCCTCTAAGTATTGACTTCTATGCTTACTTTTATATTTACACGCGCCCTATCTCTGATATTGAGCACTTTATCCCATAAATATAGCACATCTTAAGATTTATATATATATATATATATATATATATATATATATATATATATATATATATTATATTATATTTATTATATAAAATAATTATATGAAACGGATTAAGTCCGACAGTTATTTAATATTTTATGTTTATACGTTATTTTTAATAGATACAATTTTTTTTAAAGTAAATACTGTTTTTTTTTTTTTTTTAAATAAACAATATTAGTTACATTTACCGGCCTGAATTTTCGAGAAATTTCGCGGAAAATATGCGTCTCCGACAGAAATCGTACGTCAGATCAATTGACGGCTCCATTCCTGTCGGAGAACGCGTATTTTCTACCAATTTCTCGAATATTCAGGCCGGTTAATGTAATTAATACTGTATTATTCAAAACAGCATTTACTTAAATTGTATTTATTAAAAAATAACGTATAAACAAAAAATATATATTATAGCCAAACAATTGGCAGTTTAAAATATTTTAAAATAAAACACAAAATGTATATATTCGTTTGATCCTTATTTTTTTTTTTTTTTAAATAAAAAAAAAAAAAAAAAAAAAGGAATATTTTTATAAACAAATAACAGGGCTTTCGTTTGTAGATGTCAATGTCGTAAGCACCTTTTCAAGGCACGACATTAGTAAAAATTAGAGTAGGTTCAGATAACTGTAAAAGTCAGAGTCGATTTTGCATTCCGTCAATATTATGAACAGGATCACCCCTTGGAGAAAAAAAGTCGATAATTAAAATAATTAGTAATAAAAAATCATTATCCCATAATGCTAAGAGTAAGGAAACTGGAAACATGATTAGTCCACTTGGTTTCGCCAAACGTCGTTAGGTGGAGCTGTTTAAACCTATAAAAAGCAAACATTTCCTGTCTCAATCTTTCTCCTCTTTGCTCCAAGATGTAGAACCACGTGATAAAGATTAGTTTCCCCGGCCATTTTTGCTTTCAGACAATATTGTCCATGTTCATTAAAATAAATAAAAGCAATTAAAAGCTTTTGAAATTAAATAATATTTTTGTTTATTGAGTATCGAGTTTTGTAAGTTACAATTCAGAGATGATTTTCAGGTAGAGGTGGGCCAACTAAAAAAAAAATAAATAAAATGATTTGCTTTCCTCAAAGCCTTGTTCTGTTTTTTAACTAATATAATCACTAATCTTCCCAAAACTGAATGAAATTATACAGTTTACGTACAATTAGTTACTGGTGGGGGAGGTAATACATATGAAAAAATATGTTTTTGCCATGACTTTAAAAAAGGCAAACATTTATAATGAGTTCCATCATTTGTGAATAGTTTCTGAAAGTTTCATTAAAATCCGACAAGTATTTAATTAATATCTGCCATACAGAAAAAAACCGTGCTAAAATTGTCTGTTATTTTACTAGTTCCGGTGATACAAAGAAAAACAAGGTTTTTTGATTTTTTTTTTTTTTTTTTTAAAATCAAAATTTAAGATGTTCTAAAAAGGAAATTTTTTTTAAAATAATTAAAAATACTTTGATCTTTCCTCTTAATAATAACAAACATTTAGACGTTAAAATTTTGTTTTCGTCAAGTTTGGCGTCTTTTTCATCATGCTATGATGCTCTGTTTTTGGTGATCTCATAAAGGTACCTATATGCTCTTTTTAGCAATTTTTTTCGAGGTACCTAAGTATAAGCGTGATAGAAACAGAGATGACAAGAAAATTTATTATTTCTCTTTCTATGGAAAGTTAAAGGTTTTAAAGAGTTTATTGGTTTAATAAAGCCATACTGCCACAAAACTGAATTTTTTTGTATGCGACCAGTCACCGAATTTATTCGGATGAATAAAAAAAAGAAATGTTATTTTGAAATCTCCTCGTGGGACAGATGTGGCCTGCAGGCTGTATTTTGCGCAGACCCGCTTTAAAGAGATATTTTCAAGTGCGATTTAATTTAGCGTGCACAGTATTAGACCTGATTATTTTCTGAAAACAAAACTGACCTTACCTCCTATTTTATTCCATAACGACCTTCTGGTTAAACACAGAAATTTATTTTATTAGAAGTAAAAGAGATGAGGCATTGAAGTCTGCAGAACCGCTTGGTCGACAGATTACCATTCTATATAAGCGGGATGGAGAGAGAGTGGGGAAATTTCCGGTCAGTTTTGTTTGGGGGTTGCGGGTAGGAAAGCAGAAGATAAAATGTAGAAAACAACTTGGCGGGCTGTCAAGAGTTTAACGACTAGTTATTGGGTGAAGGAAAGAGATAAGTGAGAGTGGGTTAGAGAAGGTGAAAGATAGAAAGATTAATATATCAGATCTGTAGAAAGTGAGGGAAATAAAAAAAAAAAAAAAAAAAAGATAGTGTACATAACTAGTTTTTTGTTTTTGTTTTTTTTTCGCGACTTCAAGGTCAGAAGGTCAAAAATAATATCCGCCCATGTTAAGAGAGTAAGCTGGTAGACGAGTAGGGAGGTGACAAAAAAAAAAAAAAAATTAGCCGACACTTACTAAATTGTCGCCATTAAAACGACGATTCGCAAATATTTAGAAGAAAAAAAAAAAAAAAAAAAGGGCAAAAATAAGATCGTCATTGCACAGAGACACGGAATAACTTCTACCAACCTGAGATAGGCACAAAATCAAACAGAAGGAAAGTAGCTTAGAAAGATTGTGTTACGCCAATCATTCACCTGACGAATAGAATATCGGTATTCTATATCCTGCATTTATACCTGGGTTCAAATACAGGGAGTTTGCAACTATCTCAGCCA